CTCTCTCTCTCTCTCTCTCTCTCTCTCTCTCTCTCTCTCTCTCTCTCTCTCTCTCTCTCTCTCTCTCTCTCTCTCTCTCTCTCTCACACACACACACACACACACACACACATGCAGGAGGGTGGGCAGAGAACAAAATTTTCAATTCTGCCTTTGAGCTTTTCAAAATAATGTCACCATATAAATACACATATAATTTTTTGGGATTTCTTTCCCAAATTCCCCAAATTCTAAGGACTCTTTTTCCCCCCCACATTCTACTCATCAGTTGGTAGAATTGCTATTCAAATTTTTTGAGATGCAAAATAAAATGGAAAGGAATTAGATCCCTTTAAGCTAAATAAATAAAAATCATTTCACAAAACATTTTTCCCCCTGGAGTTTGTTTGCCTTTGTCCAGACCTAATTCACTTTATATGGCTGAGATTACAAGGGGAATTAGGCAGGCAGAGGGTGTAATTACCTCGGCTGGGGCTGAGCTTGCAGTTGCTCCCCTCCATTATTCTGCTTGCAAGAGACTTTATTGAAACCTTGGCTATAAATCTTAACTAGAAAGTTTGAAAAAAATCAATATTTAATTAATTTTTTAGAGCAGATTTTTTACGGACAACTTCTAGTTATTTTCCAAAAGAAAAAATGCTTATCAATAAGATGGTTAATGAATGGTTAAAACTGGATAATTCCTGTGCTGTATGTTTTAGCTAAGAGAGGAAGCAGGGTGGAAAAGAGTGTCTCTCTGATTGGAGAATATCGGCGCAGCATGAAATCTTAGAATAAGAAAAGAGTCGCGATTACAGAAAGCTCTATGGTAACAGAGAAGACCCAAGACCATGGCTATGGCTATGGCTCAGGCTCAGCAGGCACCACTGCACAGTAACCCTAACTTGGGCCCTGAGCTCCTTCCTTTGAGAGACGTTTGGTTAGCTGATGGTGCCAACTTCTTTGTGAGGGGTCAAAGCTGGATGCTGGTTTTGCTTGAGAACTCTGCCCCAGGTCCATTCACTAGATTCTAAGGTACAGTTGAGGAGATGATGTTAGGTTCTTTTCTGGGGACTTTCCAAAAGGCCAAACCCTCCAGGAAGCTCAAAGGAGCACCTGCCTAAGGGCCCACTGCGTAGCTCCTTAGACTGCGAGTTCCCTGGGGTCATGACACCTTGTGTCCCTGGACCTGCTTTTTACTGCAAACCAACCTCTAGGATATTCCGTAGCAGTGACCCACCCCTTATGCAATGTTATTGAAGAGGCCAGAGTAGACTTTGGATGCCACCAGAAAGGCAATAGGAATGTATCCCGTGTGCCACCGTGGTTGTAGGGAGAAGTGTCCAATCCTCAGAGCAGGCCACTGCCCTGGAGCACAAGGCTCAGGCTTAGGCAGCCTGGGACCCACAGAAGTGCCTGGTGGAACCAGCCTCCCTGAGAAGGCACAGGGTAGAGTACCATGTGCCCCGGTTCAAGACACAGCCTTTTTCCCTTCATTAGATCAGCTCTGGCCAATTAGATTGGTGCGTCCCTGTCCCTGGGTGGGAGAGGAAGAGCCGGTGGGCAGACAAAGGCAGGAAGTACATTTCTCTCTGGCCAAACAGTAGCCTACGAACTGTACAAGCTAGCATGTTTATGTTAACACGTGTTCTGTAGTCGTTGCTTGAGAGAGGACTCAGTTTCCCGGAAGTAATTTCTCCTTTGAGCAGTGGTTAGAGACAGAGAGATGGAAAGACACTGAGCCTAACGGAAAGAAAAGCTAATGATGTTTTGTGGTTTTTTTGTTGCTTTTTTGAGACCAGATCTCTTGCAACTTAAGCTGGCCTCGAACTCCTTATGTAGCTGAGGAAGCCTTGAACTCTGAGTGTTCCTTCCTCTACATCCTCAGCGTTGAAATGACAAGTGTGTGCTACACACCTGGTTGTTTTTACTCTTGCTTATTTATTTTGATGTTTTACTTGTTTTTATTTCATGTGTTCGAGTGTTTACCTGTATATGTTTGTGCACTGTGTGTGTGCAGTACCCACCAAGGTCAGAAGAGAGCGCTGGATCCTCTGGAACTGGGTTTACAATCATGAGCCATCGTGTGGGTGCTGGGAATCTAACCCTGATCCTCTGGAAGAGCAGCCGGTGCTCTTCACCACCAAGGCATGACTCTAGCCCTGATTTAGTTGTAATTGCGTATGGGGATGTGTGCGCATGTGTCAGTCCATGAGCACGCTGCATGTTTGCTATATGTGTCACGTGGAGGCAGAGGTGGACACCAAATGCCTTCTTCCATTGCTTCCCATTTTTTAATTTTATTTAGTTATTGAGACAGGGTCTTTTATCCAACCCAGAGCTCACAATTCAGCTAGACTGGCCATGGGGGCCCCAGGATCCACATGTCTCTGCTCCTGAGTGCTTGAGTTACAGACACCATTGCAGTTAAACCACCCAAGCCACTGCTGAGAATATTGCTGCAATTGCTTAACACACCTAGCCATCTTGCCAGCCCTAGAATATCTTCTCATGAAGAAAAAAAATCACCTGCTGTGGTTTTCCCATGAACAGAAGCAGTGAACCCCTGAGCTCCTTTGTATCTGGAGGGATCGATTGTCTCAGATGTGTATGCTCTAGAGAGTTTGGGGGGAGATGAGGAGGAGAGGTCTTTTGCTCACTCAGTAAGGCCAATGTCTGGGACTCATAACTGCTTTCTTCTATTCCATCAGCCTTGGTCATGAACAGTACGAGCCTCCAACTCAAGCCATCCTCCCTTAGGAAGTTCATTTGCTTACCGTGCCCTGGAATTAGGCTTCTTTCTGCTTAACGACAGCGTTCCCTTTGGTTTCCGTCTCTAATTTTGATGCATGCATTCGGAGAAGAGCTTGGGTTAGCTGGGCAGCCTTTCTGCTCCAGGGCTCTAGCCCTTCTCTCCCGGGAGGCAGCTCATTAGAGATTATTATTAGAATAATTATCTCATTAGAGAGTATCACCAAGAATCCTGCCTTCTCAGCAGACTCTTCACTCGTCCCGGGATCAGCTCTGAACCTGGATAGCAGAGGTTACGTTTCTGGCCTCGGTGGGCCCACCTTACCTGTCTGTAATAAGGCGCAGGAGACCTTGTGACCATCTTGCTCAGCACTGTGTCACACTCATGCGGTAGCCACATGCCCAGTTCTTAGACAGACACCCTTCTGCATCTGCTCCTCTGTCAACTTCCGCTCACCCCAGATGCACAGCCCTCTGACCCTCTTTCTTCCCGTCCGGGCAGCTGGCTACTGCAGCCCATTTCCCTTCAAGCCCTCACTGAGTCTTCATGAGATTGCTTCTTATCCGGCGGTCTTGTGGTTCCCTGGGGGAGGAGAGTAGTTAGCAGCAGAGGACATAACTCTCCCATCACTGTTTCCAGGAGCGGGGAAAGCAGTTAAGTCTCTACCTGCCATTCATCATCCTGCATTTTAAATTATTCATATTGATTTCCAATCCTTACAGATTGCATGCGATCACATGGGTACAGACAGCTTGGCTACTGACTCCAGCCCCGCAACGAAGCCCTGGCTGCTGTGTCTTGATGACAGGTTTGGCTTAGCTCATCAAATCCGCAGCAAGCGGTGCCGCCTCTACTCCCTAGGGTAAGACATGTTTTATAGCCGAGGAGAGCACAGACATTCATGCAGGCAGCCAAGGCCTTTTCAGTGATTCGGGATGGTGGGGCCAGTGTGTGCAAGTGATGGGATCTATCTTGTGCCTCAGCTTCATGCTGACCTGCTGTGTATATCACCAACTCAGGGTACCTCGGCAGGAGCCACCTTGCCTCCCGTCCCGCTAGCAAGGCAGCAGCTTCAGTTTTCAGCACCAGGACAGTCCCCTGGGAGAAACCAGAGGCGTCCAGTGTGACTTAGAGCACCTTTGTTAGAGAGAGAGAGAAATGTCAACGGTTGTATCAAGGAAGAGCGTGTCGGGAATACTACACACAGTTATGAATGAGCCAAGACCAATTAGAGCCACTACTGTGTGTGTGTGTGTGTGAGAGAGAGAGAGAGAGAGAGAGAGAGAGAGAGATATCGATCAATCTATGTGTAGTTTTGTATTTAGATAAAAAAAAAATAAAGGGAATTCTTTTTTGAAAAAAATGTGCATTTTTGCCAAAACACAACTTGGTCATACAGATTGAAAGTGACCTTGATGTATCAACAGATTTCGAGAGGTTCTGTAAAACCATAGGCATAAATTAACGAGACTGTTTCGCCAAGTCTGTCAGCACTTGTGTAAACCGTCCTGAACTTACCAATGTGTCTTTGGTTTCTGTCACATGGAACACCATGACCTAAAGCACTGTGGGGAGGAAAGGGTTTATTTACACTCTCAGGGACACATCCCAGTTCACCCAGAGAAGCTAGGGAAGGGGCTCAAGGCAGGGATGGGAGCAGAGGCCATGGATGGATGCAGCTTACGGTGCTGCCGTGGCTTGCTCAGCCTGCTTTCTTGCAGAGCCCAGGACCGTCAGCCCAGGGATGGCACCGCCCACCATGGACTGGGTGCTCCCACAACAGTCATTAATTAAGAAAATGTCCCACAGGCCTGCCTACAGCCGGTTCCTAGGGAGGCTTTTTCTCATCTGTGGTTCCTTCCCTTAGACAACTCTAGCTTGTGCCAAGTTGACAAAAATAAAACAAAGCTCATTAAAAAAAAAAAAAAAGGACAAAACAGAGCAAACAACCAGGACAAAATGATACATCTCAAAATGAAGAGGAGAGAATTATTTCTATCTGGAACATTCTGCTCAGGAGACTATTTATAGAAGCCAAGGAGGTTCTCAGGTTAGACCACGGTTGTATTTTTGAAAGCAGTTAAGATCCTAAACAATGTCACACATGCTTCCTCTCGGCTATAGGCTTCCCTTACTTCATCCGACTGTCCACATTTAGACATCTGCTGGACTCTGTGGTCGTGGGTAGGGACAGGCGTCGGGGTGTTGTGGGGACCCCCCAAAGGAGCTGGTTATTGCTATCAAACTGCTACAAGCAGTCTGTGGGCAGGGGTGTAGCTCTGTTGGTAGACTGTTGGCAAACGTGCATGTAGCCCTGGCCTTGATTCTCAACACCACAAAACGGTGGCATTCATACCTATCCCACCACTCAGGAGGTAGAGGCGGGGGTATCTGAAGTTCAAAATCATCCTCTTCCATATAATGAGGTCAAGGCCAACCTGGGTTGTGAGATCCTGGGTCCAAAATAAAGGATTACAAGTCATTGTGGATTTTTATAAAACAAAAGAAGAATTCAAATAAAAGTAAAAAGTTAATTAATATACTCATACATGAGTCAAGTGAAGACATAGTGCAGGTGTCTCCTAGTGCGGCTTGGCATGATGGCGCTGGCTTACGAAGGGGACACAGGCTGTGTGTTGAATGGCTCTTAAGTCAGACAAGAGCTGCGCAGCCCATTGGTTAGAACTGAGCTTTTCTTGGAAGGCCCCAGCTATGCTCAAGAACATAGGAAGGATGCTAAGTCATGACAGCGGCGTTTATTTTATGTCACATTAAAATTTTGTGAAAGTAGGTCAAAAAATAATTGCATCGTGTAGCATGCAAATTGGCAATGCCATCTTGATCCTATTTCCTGGTTCCAAACTTTACGTCCTGCTTAGCATTTTATGTTCCACAACAAATTCATTTAAGGATATAACTGAATAAAAGAAAACTTGGGAAGTGATTTAGAAGATGCTTTGAAATCCTCCCCCTCTTATGCTTCCAAGCTGTTTGATAAGATGGCTCTGCAGCAAGGTTTCAGATTATTACAGGGGAGAAAAAAGATTGATTTTCTTTCATTTGCATTCAAAATCAGCTCTGCAAGAAAGCAAATGAGAACTTCTGAATTACACTGGAAACAGAACTGAATAGATTATAGGGTCAATATTTGATGAGAAAACATGAAAGCTTTCATTACAAACTGCAACCTAGCCGAGCCTGATGGCACACACCTTTAATCCAAGCATTCGGGGGCAGACGCAGGTGGATCTTTGTGAACTGGAGGTCTGTCGGTCCTCCACCACAGTGAGACCCTGGCCCCAAAAACAAAACAAAATAAAACCCAATCAAACAAACAGCTCTGAAACCAAAACAAACACTCACAAAGAAACAAGGAAAAAGAAAAGAAATGCTGGGACACTTGAATCTAAAGAAAGGGTTTGTGATAGCAAATCATAAAACTTGGATTATGGGCAATGGGTGAGGATGATGGCTAGGCCGTGACTTGGGGTCTGGGATCTAGATGTCCCTCCTGTTCTGACGAACTGTTTGTTGAAGACAAGTAGATTGCCGTTTGCCTCTCAAGAGATGCTGAGAGGAGGTACACAAGTCGTGGTTCTGAGACCAGGAACCACTGAAGGGAGCCTTGGCCCTGGGTTACCAGTGTCTGGGAGAGCTGGGGCAGCTGTGTGGTAGTGGGAGGATGGACGGAGAATCTGTGGCCTCTACGTCCAAGTATATGTGTGAGCTCCTGAGAAGACAATAACAAAACTGTGCCTCTGCTGGGCCCAGTGATTCCCAGGCAAACCAAAGGTGCAGATGCGACTGGAAGGACCCCGGCCTGACAATTCAGATATGAGACGACAAAGGTTGAAGGCCCTGTGTCTGATCTGCCCCGTCCTGTCTCCTCCACCCTTGTAACTGACCCAGGCGGTGTCTGACTGGTCCCCAAGCTGCCATTTCTCTGTTGGGAGTCAAAGTCTCCTATTCCACGGTAGATGTAAAAAGGCATCTATCTGGTTGCTACAATCTATTCTATCAAAACTTAAGCTCAGTTTTTCACTTTTCAAATGGTGTAGAGGAGAACAGTGAACACACAGGAAGGGACAAGAAAGGAAGGCAAATGTTGAAGGGAAGAAAAAGAAGAGAAATTGAAAAGTAAGAAAAGGCCCTGGGCTCGGAGGATAGTTTGTGCGTAGTTTACCACTGCAGGCAGGCAGCCAGGTCTGTTGGCACACACCTTTAATCCCAGCACTTGGGAGGCGGAGGCAGGAGGATCTCTGAGTTCAAGGTCAGCCTGGTCGACAGAGTTCCAAGACAGCCAAGGCAACTAACAAAACAATTTCAGACAGGCTCTTCCCGGTAAGTATTCCAATGTAGACAGCGGTGAGGGGACTGTCCAGATATGGTGGGGGGATAGAGGGTGAGTGGAGCAGAGAGAGACGTCTCCTCGTTCACTCTCCTGGCAGAGCTGTGTTTTAGGGGTGCATGGATAGCCAAGCACGGCAGAGGCCCGCCGTCCTCACCCCCTCCTGCTCGGCAATACGTTATGCTATTCGGTCTCAAGACGTGGTTTCTCGGTGTAAGACGGAAGATTTCCTAAGTCACACATGGTGAGGCAACTCGAGCCAGTGTTTTAGTCAGAAAGCCTTCAGTGTGTCTGGGAGCATTTCAAGAAGAATGAATGGAAACCACAGACAAATACGTTTGCTTCCCAAGAGCTTGGATGAAGGCAGCAGGAGCAGTGTTAGCACAGGATATAATGAATGGGGAAGGAGAAGACTGTGGTCCTCGATGTCTCTAGATAGTTTCTCCCTGATCGCCCAGCTGTGGTCTGGTAATACCATAGATGCAACCGTAGAGCGGTTTATACAATGTTTAATACATATGCTTTATCTGTAAGAAGAGGAAGTGTGTGTGTGTGTGTGTGTGTGTGTGTGTGTGTGTGTTCCCTAAAATCCATTTCATTCCTTTGGGAATGACACTGTCCTGAAATAATATGGATTTTGTTTGTTTTTAAGGTAGGGTTTCACTGTGTAGCCCTGGCGGTTCTGGAACACCCTTTGCAGACCAAGCTAGCCCCAAACTCACAAAACTCCTCCTTCCTCGAGTACCTCTTGAGCACATGCAGGAATATACCAGCATACCTGACTTCATGTTTTAAATGAAACTTTGGAGTTTCATGCAATGTTACTAATACAAGAATCAATAATTATAAAATATTTTCCTCTATCCTCTGAGAACCTGCATCTCTCCTCCCTCCCTTNCCTCCCTCCCTCCCTTCATTCCTCCCCCTCCCCTCTCTCTCTCTCTCTTACACACACACACAGTTGGCAGTTTACAGTTCTAGCCTACCAGCTGACCAGCATGCCTTCCTTGATCCTGCTGGATCACAGTCGGGAGGAAAACCCTTCTCACGGCTTCTAGAACTCTTCTCTCAGTGATAAGGGCTACACACTTCTGATCTGCGCTCCGAATTTATTTTTATAGTTTTTAGCTTCTGAACAATTTTATATGCATATAAATATACTAATATACTATATGTAATTATACTCACATACTTAAATATACAAACTGGGTTTCTTTTAATCATTACACTTAAGCTTAAAACATTTTATCTCCCTCTCCTTCTCCAAAGCCCTGGACACAACATACAGCACTCCCAATTTCCCTCTGATCTTTAGCTCCCTCGCTTCTTGCCTACCACCCCTGATCTTAAGCAAATACTAGCTTGACTCTCTGTCTAGAGTCACCTATGTTGAGCATTCCATGCACATAGAATCATATAATATATGACATTTTATGGCCCTTGATGCCTAGCGTCATGTTTTCAGAGTTCATCTACAGCACCAGAACTCCACTACTCTTCATGTCTGAGTCATC